AGGGGAAGGGTTGTCTGTTTTGCCAGTGTCATGGTGTTCTCATCATAATGCTAAATACTTCCATTCCAGGAAACTAAAGACCCAGGTCAGAGTTTTATAGATTTTGGCTAAAGGCTGTTCCAGGAGAAAAGTAAATGTTTAAAGGTGCTGACCATTCCCCTAACTTATTTCAAATTTTTGGTTCCATACTTCTCTTTCCCACCTCAAATAGGATTATCCTAGGTGTAAAATCCAGATCACTACCATAGTAACCACACAAATAGAGCACAAAAAGGGCTGTTTGTTTTGATTTCATAGTGATGGAAAGAAAACTACACAGAGAGATGTTTAAGGGGCATAGATGATGCCACAAAAAATGTTTATAGGAGATAAGTTGGAATGTACTTTGCCTATACAATAATTTATATCTTAAAAGTAGAATCCGGGGAATAACTGTATCTTTTATACAGTCAAAAAAGTTGGCAATGTTGAAAAAATCATTTTCAAAATGATTTTTTTTGAGGGAAATTGAACTGTTAATTGGAAGAATGGGATTCTTTGCAGCAGAGATGGAAAAATATACATTGCCGTATGTGAAGAAGGTTGAGGGTCATTTATTATAAACAGATGAGTTTGTCAAATACATCTACACACACACCCCTGTTTTGGCCTTGAAGACAAAATTCTAGGCCCACAGATAGAGAAATATTGTGTATTTGTACATCTCTCAGATAAGTAGACATTTTATTTATGCACATATTAAGAGGGAACAGTTTAATAGTAGGGATTAATCATACCTGGGGCAAAGATATTGGAGGCTATCGAATTTGCTGGGCTTAGAGTGAGGTCTGAGCAAATGGTGAGAATGTCACTCAGAAGGTTCTGATTCATCCTTCATTCCACTGCTGATTATACCAGAAGCATCACTGGACTCCTGGATTCAAATTATGGTAGTGGCTACAACCGCTTCAATCCTAATCGCAAGGGCAGGACGTGTAGAGTATAGTTCTCCTGCCCAAATGTAACCTCTGTGTAGACTTTGGTGTCTCTTCTTTTTTCGTATGAGTGTGCATCTTCTACACAAAATATATATAATACACTTTTACATAGTGTGAATATTGGTATTACAATTTGAATCAAATATGCACATGATTATCTAAACTGCATTTCAGTTTATTCATTTAACAATTCTTTGCTTTGTGCCTGCCATAAACTAGGGATTCCCGGAATTCAACATTCCCTGAAAGCATGGCATTTGATGACTTCTTAATATTCTCTTAGATGATGAGTTATTTAACTTTCTCCTTATTATTGTATTGTTGGGCATTTGCATTGCTTCAGTTTTTTTTGCTAGTATAAATGATATTAAATTATCATCTTACCTAATTTTTCCTATGTCAGTATATCAGATTTTTTTTTTCTGAAGTAAAAGCCCAGTAAATGTAATTATATTTTAATAATCCTCAATTTGGAGAAAATTAGCCAAACAATAGGGTATACAGAAATAATGACTGTGGTAGTCTTTTCAGTCATCCAGCATTCTGGTTGGAGTTTAAATGGCCTGGACTTATGGGTATATCAAGGTGGTAGCACAGTGCAGTTGCCTAATATGGGACAGATATTTGTTATGACAGATCGTGTCATTGCACACTGAGTTATTCATCGCTCATTATTGTTCCTGACATCTCAACACCCAATTCTTATGCATAAACAGCTTTTAGAGTCTACTGATCTCTTACACCCTTCTGGGTCATGGATGCTATACACACATTTCACCGTACCATGGCCCTACTGAATAAAAGAGGAGGAAAAATTTAAAGGAGAAAAGAAAATCCCTGCTCAACGCACAGGTGTGTGTATGATAATAAACAAATGTTGCTTTTATTGAATTTTGAACTATGTATGGTATTTGGTTCTTTTTGAAACACCCTGCAAGTAGCTCATGGCCGTAAGATAGAAGATAAGCCCTAGTTCTTTCTCCCTCCTCGTTCTCTTCCTATCTGTGTGGGTGTGAGTGTGGGCATGTGTGTGCATGTGTGTGCATGCTCACACATTCTCACATGTCTGTTTTCCCAAACAGGCGATTTGGTTCATTTCAGTCCTTTGTAGCGTTCACAAATAGTGAGCCCAACATGTTTAATCTTCCCACGAAGCGCTTCAGAGATCCGTCACATGAGGTCATTGGTTTCTCTTTAGTGCTAAGTCATAGCAAATTATCATCTTTTCTGGGTTGATTTTGTGGAGTGTTAAATGCCGTTTAAATGTCCCTTAGATATGAAGCCATTTATTTTTCTCCTAATCACTTAAAATAGCAAGAACTAATCAACCGGAGTTTTTCTCCTTGTTACGAACACACCAATCTGCCCCTGACTCACGTGCGTGTTTCTGCCTTTAGGTCAGTGGGAACTTTTCCCAGCCGTGTTTTCTTTTTCTCCCTTCATTCCTAATTTCTCCGAGGAACAAATGGCAGCATAGTTAAGCATTAGGAACTTGTTGCCGAAGGTGCTAACCTAAACATCAGTGCCAGGATACGACCGAGACTTAATAGACTAATTAACTTGTCTACTGCACCCCTGACCTGGGGCTTTCGTACAATGGGCTGCACTCAAGGAACCGAGAGTCTGGTATCCAACGCAGAGAAATGCAACTTTGTGTGCTTTATACATCAACATGCAATTAATACTGGGTTCTTTAAGAAAATAGATTTTGAAAACAGAACTTTATTCCATCACATGTTTTTGAAAGTCCGATACTGCGGGATTCTGTGTGCCTTTCTGTTTGTTTTCTTCTCTGGCATTTTACTGCAGTGCTACACAGAACCCTCATGCTACTTAATCCAAATGTGCAGCTGACCTCCAGAGGAGCCCAGTGATAGAGAAGGCCACAGTTTCTGAATTAACCTATTCCAAGGGAGGATGCCCTCACAGCCACAGTGACTCGTAGGAACAAATAGGAACTTGAAGCTTGAATGGCATTTTAAAATGTGTTTGCATTATGAATTCCTGGCGATGGTATTCATGTTTCTTTCAGAAGGAGATTAGTTTTATTTCCTCTTAGGTTCCTTTTCTCACTCCTCTTTCACATTGGAGACAGTTTAAATATACTTCAAGGGCAGTTAACATTCAACTGCCACTGAATCCAGGGCACTGAGTAGAAGCTGAAGTGAATAAATCTATTCATATTAGTTTGTCAAGCTATGGGTTATGCTTCTCTCTGGATCATGGGAACCCACAGAGAGGTAACAAATCAATGCTTTCCTGTTAGGATTTTATTTAGAATAGAATTTGTGAATTTGGAAGCATTCATTAGACCACCAAATGTCTGCTGAGCGTGTGGCATGCACTGTGGTAGGCACCATGGATAAAACGGCAAATAAGAATGACTTCTCAGCCCTACTGAAGCTGATGATCCAATAGTGGGAGTCACACAAAGTACAGTGGTTACCCCTTATTTGAGGTTTCACTTTGCATGATTTCAACTGTCTGCAGTCTACCGCAGTCTAAAAATATTTAATGGAAAGTTCCAGAAAAAAAAGTAACTTATAATTTTAAATTGTGCGCTGTTCTGAGTATGATGATGAAATATTTTGCTGCCCCGCTGTGTCCCTCCTGGGATGTCAATCTTCCATTTGTCCAGAGTAGCCACACTACCCACCCATTCTTTACTGAGTTGCCATCTCAGTTATCAAAGTGAGACCACATACCTCTAACTTTTATGTTGGCATACTGTTACAATTTACCTATTTCATTATTAGTTATTGTTGTTAATCTCTTAATTTGTAAATTAAACTTTATCATGGGTATATTTGTATAGGAAAAAACATAGTATTATATATGCATCCCCTCGGGGGGGATCTTGGAACATATGCCCCATGGATAAGGGGGGATAACTGTAAACACAAAGAATAGCAGAACTCAAGGCAAGGCTGCTTGTGATGCAGATGGGGGAACAGGCTAAAGGGATAGGGAGTGACTGGAATGTGTGTGAGGTGCAAAGTGAGCCATGATCTTTAGGGAATGGCTTTCAGGAAAGCTATGTTAGACCTGAGAACTAAAGGATGCAATGATAGCCTTTGGGTGGGGCCGTCCTCATTCACATATTGGTAGTCAGTTCACCTGAAGGCGGCATAAACAAGATTCACATGCACTTCTCAGTATAGGTGTGCTGCATGAGTGGATAACTCTCAGAGTTGATGCTTAGAGAATACTAGTTAAATGAATAGAATCCTATCTAATAAAAGAGTAATATGCAAATTGACTGTCACTCCAACACACAAGATGTCTGCTCCCATGTGGACAAAAATGACTGTCCCCATGTGGACACAAAATGGCAGCCACAAGATGACCAGAGGGGAGGGCAGTTGGGAGGGACCAGGCCTGCAAGGGAGGGCAGTTGGGGGTGATCAAGCCTGTAGAGGAGGTAAGTTAGGGTTGACCAGGCTGGACAGAAAAGGGAAGTTGGGAGTGACTGGGCCTGCAGGGAAGGGCAGTTGCAGGGACCCAGGCCTGCAGGGGAGGGCAGTTAGGGGCAATCAGGTTGGCAGGGGAGCAGTTAGACATCAATCAGGCTGGCAGAGAGTGGTTAGGAGGTGATCAGGCTGGCAGGCAGAAACAATTAGGGGCAATCAGGAAGACAGGCAGGGGAACAGTTGGGAGCCAGCAGTCCTGGATTGTGAGAGAAATGTGACTGCCTGTTTAAGATCGGGCCTAAACGGGCAGACAGACATCCTTCCAGGGGTCCCAGATTGGAGAGGGTGCAGTCCCAGAGGGCTGGGCTCTGGGACACATTTCCCACCCCCCCCATGCACGAAATTCATGCAGCGGGCCTTTAGTAAATAAATATTGGCATATGAATTAAGGGAAAGTTGCTTTGTCTCTTTAAAGTTTAAAGTTATGTTGCCTGCAGTAGTGGAGTAAAAGATTTAGGTGTTGTGTGCATTTTTATTTTGTTTTTATTGAAATGTAAAGTGAGCCTCACATCAACAGTTTTTGTAGTTATTTATTATTTCTTTTATTTTGCAGGTTTCAGCGTGGTCAAGAGAGTGAATGAATCGGAAGTGGGTGTACCTTGCATGAATCATCAAGAGCATTCTATGCTATAAATATCAGCAGCATATTTATCTGGTTAGTAGTATAAATCAAGTCAGACTTGGCCTGATAGTACACCTCTTAGAAATTAAGTAATTGTTATTAAGGGAAAGACCATAAATAGATTTTGTGTATCAACTTATATTGAGACAATTCACCATATGTCTAGCGAGGCCACATACAAGTTAGTTAAGGTGTTAACAAAGTCATTTGAATTTCTGTGGGTGTGTGTGTGAAGAGGGTGGTACTGGTGAAGGTAAGATGTCAAATGGCATAGAGATCAAATGAGAAGAGTGACTATGGACTTTATTTACTGCCTGTGAGTGAATTTTATTTGTACCCATTTAAAAAAGAAAACCTGATGAACAGGTATGTTTGCAGTCCTTCATTTTGAAAGGTTGGGGGTGGGCAGGAGAGATGAACATTGGAACATTTGGTGTTTGAAAGACAGTCCAAGATTAGTCGATAGATAAACATAGTTTCCATTTTAGGCTTTAGAGTTATTCTTGACCTGTTTCTTCTTGTTTATTAATTGAGAACTGCAATTTTAAAGATCCAAAAATATTTCATTTATTCTCGAACTAAGAATGGATTTGATTTTCAGTAAAAATTCATGTTACATGTTGATGTTGTTCAGAGTCTTTTCTTTGGCTCTTCTCTTATGTTAACCCACATCTGTGCTTTCAATGAGTATGATTCCATCCTTGCATCCTTTAGTGCAGATCCTTATCATTTCTCAGTTATACTGTAAAATAGCTTATTAACATCTGTGCACCTTTCCCTTTTCCAAACTGTTCATCATTTTGTCAGCAGAAAGGATATCTGTTCAGACCACTCTATCTTCATTGACATTTGATGCTTCCAGGATTATGTCCTTTGGCATATATGTCCTTGTATGCCTCCAGGATTATGTCCTTCAGCTTCATCTCAGTCTTGCCTTCCATTCTAATCTTTTCGCTTGGCTCTATCCTTTCTATACCTGTACTCATAGCCTATGAATATACTATAGTTTCTCTGTTCATCCGCTTGCTCATTCACTTATGGTTCTGTTCCTTTGCACTTTCTGTTCCCTGTTTCTTGAGTGCAATTCCTACTTATTGTTTACTTGGGAAATTTTTTATTTATCCTTCATGATTACATTTAAAGAAAATATTTTTTCTCTATGATTCTTTCCGTGGCAGAGATAGGTACTTCCTTTCTCTCCTCCCATAAGCCTTGAATGCATTTTTAAATGTTTCCTTGGCTCTCTTATAGTGCTCTGTAAACCCCTTTTGGATAGGCACTGCCTTCTTTTTTCCTCTTTATCCCCAGCCCTCAGCACATTAACTAGTAGAGCTTCAATTGTCATGTGTTTAATGGGCAAATTAATACATGCTTCATATTTATCACATGATATTTATTATGGAATGAAAATTATAAGGATGTGACTTAGTTTCAATAAGGTTGTGATTTTTGTTTGGTGGACAAGTCTTAAACACATGAAATAGTTAGGGAACATAAGATAAAGCATAGTGTACAAAAGAATTATCTACACTAATAACAGAGAAAGGTTCAAATTTACCATACTTTCCCTATGCCCGCCAGCCAATCAGGAGTGAGTATGCAAATTAATGCAACAAAGATGGTCAGTTAATTTACATACACAGGCGTTGAGCAGCAGGGGGGGCGGGACGCTCTGGGCCTCTGGACAATGTGGGAAGGTGGAAAGGTGGCTCTGGGCCAGCGCAAAGGTGATGCCAGCAGCTAGGGGAAGGAAGGCCCATTCTGCACAAATCTTTATACATCGGGCCTCTAGTTTATATTATAGAAGTTTGGCAGATATACATACACATACTACAATAGTATACAGATACACAGTAAGTGGAGGAAGAGCAAAGGTCAAGTTTAAGTATGACATAGGCTTCATGAACTAGATAAGAGGGTAATGGGATAGTGAAGGAATGTACCTTACTAAGTCTTAGATTGTTTATAAAGGTTTAGTATAAAACCAAATATTGGTCCTTTTTATTTGTAAAGGGTCAGAGATCAAACAGGAGAAATTACAACAATGAATGAAAGTTGAGGTGGGTTCTTGGTATGTGTTGGAAAGATATTAATCCATGCCTAGTGAAGTCTAGTGGGGATTGGGTCTAAACAGGCAGTTGGATATCCCTTGAGGTGTCCCAGATTGGAGAGGGTGCAGGCTGGGCTGAGGGACACCCCCCATCCCCGTGCATGAATTTCGTGCACCGGGCCTCTAGTAAACTTATAAAAAAGAAGGATCTCTGTACCCCTGAGACATCATGGAGGGACCTGGAGAGTATTATGCTAGGTGAAATAAGCCAGTCAGAGAAAGACAAGTATCACATGCCCTCACTTACATGTAGAATCCAATAAACAAAAGAAACTGACAAGCAAAATAGACCCAGAGACATTGAAGCATGCAACAGATGTATCTCAGAGGGAAGGGGTGTGATAGGTGGGAAAAGATTAACCAAAGAACTTACATGCATATAACCATGGACACAGACAATAGTGCAGTGAAATCCTGGGGTGAGCTCGGGGGAGAAAGGATCAATGGAAGAATAAAAGGGGACATCTGTAATACTCTCAACAATAAAGATAAATTTTAAAAAAAGAAAATGAAAGGAGAAACAAAAATTAATTCGTGCTGAAACCGGTTTGGCTCAGTGGATAGAGTGTCTGCCTGTGGACTGAAAGGTACCAGGTTCGATTCCAGTCAAGGGCATGTACCTTGATTGTGGGCACAACCCCAGTGGGGGTGTGCAAGAGGCAGCTGATCCATGTTTCTAATCGATGTTTCTAACTCTCTATCCCTCTCTCTTTCTCTCTGTAAAAAATCAATAAAATATATTTAAAAAATTAATTCAGTAAGTTGGATATTACTTTCTGATGGAAGAGAAACCATCTTCCTGGGGAGTCAAAAAAAAAAAAAAAGAGAAAATGAATTGGAGTGAGCAGGAGGTTCACACACAGCAAACGATTAAGTTCACAATATGCACTATACACTTCTCATTTTCAAGGAAATAGATGAGGGAACCAGATTCTTAAAGTGATGGATTCTCGTGAAGATCTGGATGTGAGCCAAAAAGATATATGAGGCAGAAAGAAAACGTAGGAACTTACACCCATGTAATTCCTTAAGGTCTTTTGCACGTTCCATAGTCTTGTGTGTATGTTTCTTAGATGGTGTAAGAGTTTTTATTTATCCTCGTGGGAGAAATAGGAAGTACTTATACTCCATCTCAGTCCAGAATCACTTCAATTTTTACAAGCTCTTTGTGGTCTTTAGAATTTAGTATTGGAACATGGTCAAGCTTTTCAAACATAGGGAGATAGTAGCTTCAAGGTACTGTGGAATCCACAGCACCACAGAAAATAATTAGATTAATAGCTACGTTGACCTCATACCAAACCCACTTTTTGAAAAAACATATATTTTATTGATTTTTTTTTATAGAGATAGGAAGAGAGAGGGATGGAGAGTTAGAAACTTTGATGAGAGAGAATCATCAATCAGCTGCCTCCTGCACACCCCCTACTGAGGATGTGCCTGCAACCAACATACATGCCCTTGACCTGAATCGAACCTGGGACCTTTCAGTCCGCAGGCCGATGCTCTATCCACTGAGCCAAACCAGTTTCGACCCAAACCCACTTTAAAAGCACATTATAATGTCCACAATACCCTATTTCTATGACAACCCTGTTTGGAAGGAAAACTAGGGCAAAGAGAGGTTTTTGAGCTTTGCCCAAGATCCCAGACAATCTGATTCTATAATCTGAACTTTTAATCACTGTGTGTCCCTTCTACCATTTGAGAAGGAAAAGTATTTTTTAAGGCTCTGAGATTCTAAATTGGGAATCACAACTTTCAACAAATGATTAAGGAAATAGATGATGGAACCAGATCCTTAAAGTGATGGATTCTTATGAGGATCTGTATGTGAGCCAAAAAGAGCTACAATTAAAATTTTTAATTTTTCCCACATTTCTCCTTTGCGCTAGAGTTAATTTCACAACTTCTATAATTAAGGGGAAACCCAATACTATGAGTTTAAAGCCAGAGTAATAACTAAACTTTTCAACATAAAATTAATGGTTCTTGACAATGTGGTGGTCTGTGATATTATTAGGGTGTCATGAAAAATTTAAAATTGCAATTTGAAAGTGGGCTTGAGTGCCCATTGTACTTGCAAATTTGGAAATTGTCCTAGACTAGTGCAGTATGAATCTGTGCTTGATTTTGTCAAGTTTGTAAAATTCATAAACTTTGTTATTTAAAGTCTGATCTAGAGGAAACGGGTAACTCATATTTCATAGCTTTCTTATTTTCTCATGATTTTTTGATAGAGGTAATCAGGTAGAGGTGATATATTACTCATACAATTTTGTAATATGTCACAAAAAATCTTAGTGGTTATTTTATAGTTTTTAGGGTTAGTGACTATATTTTCTGATTTTCACAGGCTGATGTAACTTTCTCCAGGTATCAGATAGGAAAATGTCTTGTTTTGGTTCAAGATATTTTAAAGCAAAAGGCATTTTAGGGTACCTTGACCACAATTGAAGAAAACCAACACTCAGGAAAGTACCTGGAGAATTTCAGCAGTGTCCTAGTTAGTGTGGTCAGTGCTTTAGTACGAATTGTTTGTCTTGAGTCAGATACTGATTACAAATTAATCTGATACTACTTCCTTACCCCCGTTTTTGGTCCAGGAACTGGGCCAACAATACTAATGCATTTGAAGTGATTATGATGTAAAAATATGAAATTTATGAAATAACAGGATAAGAATTCAAAATACAATTAGATACTGGATTTGGTTATTTTTTTCCCCATCTGACTTCTTATAAATTCAGGCTTTTGCAATATTGGTTTTGAGATTTTCACCTTGCCTTAGTCCCTGCAGATAAAAATTTCTTACCAGAGATTTACATTTTTAAAGATTCTTTTTTGTCTTTATCACAATTGTTGAAGATGTAAAGAAAGAGTATTTGGTGAATTGTACAAGACACATATGGTGTCTTAATAT